CAATTCTGACGAGTTGGTAGTAATATCTCATTGTGGTTTTAATTTGCATTTGTCTAATGGCTAATGGTGTTGAACATCTTTTTATGTGTTTATTTATCATTTGTATGTCCTATTTAGTGAAATGTCACTTTGTGTCTTTTGCCTATTTTTAAGTTGTACTTGGTTGTTTTTGAAAGTTGAGTTTTGAAAAAAATATTTATATATTCTTGATAGCCATCCTTTATCAAATATGTGGTTTGCAAATAGTTTCTCTCAGTCTGTATATTATTTTTTTATCTTGTTTATAAGATCTTTTGCAGAGTAAAAGTTTTTATTTTGGATGAAGTTCAACTTCTCATTGTTTTACTGTTAGTTCCAAGATTTCCCCTTTCATTGTTTCCTTTCTGTTTTAGAGAATGATTTTGAACCATTCTTTTAGAATATGTCTGCACTGACTATAAATTTTCTTACTTTTTCTTCATCTGAGGATTTCTTGTTTTCTCTTTCATTCTAGGAGGATATTTTCACCAAATATAGGGTTCTGGGTTGAAAGTACTTTTCTTTCAATACTTGAAAAATATTTTTCCATTTCCTTCTGGCCTCCATGGTTCCTGATGAGAATCTTTCATTCAAATTGTTTTCTTCTACATGGCGTCATTTATCTCACTGCTTTGCAGACCTTTCAGAAGTTTGACATTGATATGTCTTAATATGGACGCATTTGGGTTTATCCTGTTTGGGATTTACTCACCTCTTTCAATGTGTTGCTTTATGTCTTTTGCAAGTTTGGATGTATTTAGCACTTTCTCATCCCCTGTCTTCCTACATTCCTTCTGGGACTCTGATGACATAAACATTAGGTCTTTCGTTATCATTCTGTATGTCCCTAACATGCTGTTCAATTTTTTTTTCTTTAGATAATTTATTTTTTGTTATTTAGGTTATGTAGGTTTTTAGTGCTAAAGTTTTCATTGAAGTCTTTATATCTTCTGCTCATTTTTGATGAGACTTATTTTTATTTGATGAGACTTTCTACTTGTTCATTTGTTTTGGTTGCATCCATGATTTCCCACTGACGCATTTTTATGGCTATTTTTAAAAATCTATTTCAAATAACACTAAAATCTTTGTTATCTCAGTGTTTGTATCTATTGATTGCCTCTTTTCATTCAGTTTGAGGTGAGGTCTTCCTAGTTGTTTGTAGGACAGGTAACTTTTTTAAATTGAAAACTAGACATTTTGAGTATTATAAGATTCCGGATCTTACTTAAAGCTTCTAGTCTAGCTGGTTTCCTCTGACACTGCCCTGTCAAGAGAAGAGAGGTCCCATCTCATGATTGGTAGGTTGGAAAAGAAGTCCAGGGTCCCCACTCATTCTGTGTTAACACCAAAGTGTAGGGAGCTCCCTGTTAGGAGTTTGGGGATGGGCTGGGATTTGTGGCTCCTCAGTAGATCTCCACTCACACCTCCCTGGGTGGTGCAGAGAGCAAGACCTCATTATTCCTTCACACGTGTCATCTCCTGACACCAACAACTGCTAACAAGGCGCAGAAGGACTGTAACCACTGGGAGATAGTGAAAGTGCTGACTCTCTGCTAAGCCTCCTCCAACATCACCCCTGCAGAGAACGAGAGGACCACTTTCTTACCACCAGTGGGGTGAAAGGCCAGGCTCCCTATGAGTAGGGAGTGGTCCCATTAACTCCTGAAAGGGATGAAAGTCCTGGCTTTCTTCTTAGCCTTCTCTGAAACCACTGCGTTTGGGGCGGGAGGCCCTTGTTGCTTCCTCAGCAGCATGAAAGTCTAGGCTCCCCACTAGGCTTTTACTGATGGAGACAGGGGTGAGGCTCTAGTCTTTTCCATGTGTAATAGTTTGCATAGAATGATGCGGTTACTCTCAAAAGTGTTCTCTCTTGTTTGGCTGCTCCTTTCATTATTCTTTGGCTAGAAGGAGCCAACTTTTGTTGGAGCTTTTGTTGTCTGTGCCTATTGATGTTTCTGGGTTGCCAGTATCTTTATCTCCAAGTCTGGGATATATAGGGCAAAAAAAACCCCAACAATCTCAGGAACTCACCACACAGTATTGTTCCTTGGGCCCTGAGGGCCATAGTTCATTGGCCTCTTCTTTCTACCTTTCCGAACATTTTAATGTTTGTTTTATATATGATGCCCAAGGTTTTCAAGCTGAACTTATAGGGAGGAATAGGTGAAAGCATGTTTATTCCATATTTCTGGGAGCAGAAATTTCTAAACTGCTCAATTTTTAATGATAAGCTAGAGACCCAGATTGTAATATAAAATTTCCTTGTTTGTCTTTTTTTTTTAATATAGAAAACAATTAAATAACAGGCAGGCTGAATGCAAACTGTCTATAGGCTAACAGTCTATGTACTCTGCTCAGTTTCCTAGGAAATTAGCTTTCCCTAAGATTTGTCATTTTCACCTCATTACATAAAAATTTCTATCATTTGTGTGAAGATGACATTGCTGACAAACTTAAACTCTCAAGGGCATAGCCCAGAAAGAGGAGTTTAGCAGGAAAAGATCACTGGGCAACCAAATTAGACATCAAAACGTCCAAACACAAAATTTCTTGTACTTTATAAATAGATAATAAGCCTTCAGGCTTTAAAAATAAGCCTTTAAATCAGAGCATGATTTTAAAAAGTAAAATAAAATCACATATTCACACACATCGAAAGTCAGCCTGCTTTCCAAAGCATGATGCAAATTAGAGGAGATAGGATTTCATGAGTCAGGAACACTGAAAAAACTTAAGAGTGAAGCAAGAGAGAGCAAAATGATCAAATCCACTAGAAACACTCGATTCCCTAAAAAGCTGCTTGTGACTCCTCAGTGTTGCTACACAGTCTTGTATACCCCTAGGAAGTGCTGAGGGTCTTCCTTTGTCAGTGAATGGTCTAAGCACTGAGTTTAATAATTAGAACTTTGATTTTTCAGGGATTTATACTATTATCATCTCCACCTTCTGTCTAATGTAAGTCTGTAACTACTAAGCTAAGGGGAAAAAAAAAGTTTAATCCTTCAGAGAAGGAAAAAAATAAAAATTACTTATTATGGAGTCACTACCATGTGTTAGATAGCATATTGGGAGCTTTATCACGATATCTGTTTCAATTAAAAAAAAACGAAAAAAGAAAGAAAAACTATGAAGTAGATACTATTATTTTCCATTTTCACTGATTGGGAAGCTGAGACTGAAAGGCCAGGAGTAATTTTACAAGGGTTCTGGCTAGGTGCAACTATCGGAATATTGGCATCCAATCAAGGCTTCAATAGCCATGCTCTAACCAGCCTGGAACATGGACTCTAAAATGTTGAGATGACATGTGGGAAATGAAGGGAGAGGGTTTCCAGCATTCAGAAATTGCATTAATGTTATGGCAGTTGAATCCATTCTGCACAGCAAAAACTTATATGACAACATTGACTGTTGGCTTCCTCCAAGCAGGCCCTGGGGTCTTGACCGGTGATTCTCAAAGGGACTTCTCAACGTCCTGAGTCAGGAACTGCAGCCTCTAGGAAACTAAGCGTTAGCTGTTTTCTTAGTGACTGTGGCAGCAGCACGACTGTGCTTGGTGTTCATAGCACGTGTACCCTTTTCATTGCCAATTGCCAAACAATTGTCTATTACAGGCAGTATTTGATAAAGTGGACAAATAATATAAATTAGGAGGGTTGCTGAGATCCAGAAGCACCTCTTGGTGTGAAAAGACGAGAGAGGGATAACTTGGCTTCTGCAGGCTCCGGGCAGCTGCCATCCACACCATGTGAAGATAGGCTAGCCCTTGGGTAGACATAGGCGTCCCACTGCAGGGTGGTAAATAACCAGAGAAGAGCAGAGGGGCCCGGAGCTGCAGATCTGGTCCCCAAGTATTTCCCGACACACTGAGGACTCAGAGAACAACAGTAGATTGGAGAAAAATGATTATCCTGGCTCTCAGTTATATTTTCCATTTTAATTAAAATCCTTATTTGCCCATTCTGTCCAGGCCTTGGCCCCGTGGTCCATGCTATTTTGCATGGCCAGTGAAATCAATCGGAGCCCATCATTTGGCACTCGGAGACGTCGAAGCATTTTTGTTGTATTTGCTAGGCAGAAGGCTTGTGTTTTCTGAGTGATATCTGGCACATGCTTCCAGGCCCAGGGTGTCAAGTGACAGACTGTGGGGCTCCGTGGTTGCCAGTTCGTATGTTAGAGAGGTTCCTTTCTATCAGCTTTCCTGTTGCATTCAGTGTTCTTACCGTTTTCCTTTTTTGCGATGGATACCTCATCAATAGAGGGGACATTATGGGCGGGCTTAGGTTGGCAATCCCAGTTAGATCTCTTGTCAGCAAGATCTCCTGTTGATAGATGACTAGGGAAAAGCAGTGACCAGGTGTGTCCAAAGCACAGATCTGCAAAGGGAAAAAAACCAACTAGGAGTTTGCTGAAGGATTCTTAAAGAAATTGGAGTTAGTGCGTTTGCATGTCAAGAATGCCTTATAGTATTATTCTCCAGACTCAGACAGGCAATTTTATGTTAGTCGAATTCACTTGGTACCATTGCAAAGCATCAGCAGCATAAATTTGTGCCTCATACACATTTATTTTTATTTATTTTTTATATTTGTTTTTCCCAATTCTGCTATAGCAAAAAGAGGATATAATTAAATAAGGATAAAATCAGTTTTGCTTTGAACGGCTTCATAGTAAGATCTTGCATTAGAGTGACAGATATCATGTCATCTGTGCGCATATAGAAAATCAAAAGATGAGTTATTTTGCTATTACGTTTTCCCCCAAATCTATTAAATTAAACAGCAAGAAAATTAATTTACTGCATCGAGCCCTTCTACGTCGGCTGATTGTTTAAGTGTACATTAAGCATTTGCAAAACAGATAATGCGGCGCTGACCAATTTTGCCTTTTTATGTTTTTATCTGAGTCAAACGTGAGTCAGAACAGAAGGCAGCGTTTCTTTTAATCACCGTCTTGTTTGTTTCCTTCGATGTTTCTAGGTGGTCAAGTGACAAGAGCCAAAACTCAAGCCTGACTTTTCTGAAATCATCAGTGTCCCGCCTGACCTGGAATAATGGATGTAAAGGACCGGCGACACCGCTCCCTCACCAGGGGGCGGTGTGGCAAAGAGTGCCGCTACACCAGCTCGTCCCTGGACAGTGAAGACTGCCGCGTGCCCACGCAGAAGTCCTACAGCTCCAGCGAGACGCTGAAGGCCTATGACCACGACAGCAGGATGCACTATGGAAACCGAGTCACAGAGCTTGTTCACCGGGAGTCAGATGAGTTTCCAAGACAAGGTATGTGGAGCAGCCCTCCCTGCCGCTGCCTTATGTTCTTGACTTGCATTGCTGTTGGTGGTTGATGACTGAGGTTGGAGAAAACTGGGTGCACAACAGAGCGCCATCCAGTGTTCCATTAGAGCGCCATCTAGTGTTCGATTACAGTTTAATTGGAGACCACAGTCCTTATATGCACCCATGTCAAACTCCTGTGGGTATTACAGAAGGGCTTCTTTAGTCCTGGACATGATATTCTTTGACTGTTTGGTGGTTGCTTTTGGAGGCCCACCATGGTGGGTTTCGACACATGCAGCATAGGGGAGACCTTTGGCTCTCTAAGGGGTATTCCTCTTGAATTATAGTTATTTTATTTCTTTGGGGAGGAAAGTTTGTTTTCTCCCAAATACTAACAGTTGGCATTCTCCTCATGTCCAGTATCCATTTGGAATTGCATTATCACCTTTTAGGGGTTGCTGTCCACGTGTGGACATGTAGACGAAAGCAGGACTGTGCTGAGAAGTGGTATAGCTCATCGACTTACTAGGTCCACGTCTTGCATTCTGTGTACCAGCCTTGCTGTGTGCGAAAAATTTTGCTTTAGCAAAATTAGAAGTGAATGCACAAAAAAATACAGTGGACGAACTGGGAAAGGTTACTCTGCCAGCGTCAAGGGTCAAGACCCTGTCTGCCAGGTTGTTACATCACTGATTCTTTATTTCTTGTTCCAGTAAATGTTGCAACTAATTTAATTCCTAATGAGATACCTTAGCTTGTGTCTTAGTCCTTTCAGGCTGCTATAACAGGATATCGTAAACTGGTGGATTATAAACAACAGAAATTCATTTCCTACATTTTAGAAGCTGGGAATTCCACGATGAGGGTTCTGATTTGGTGTCTGGTGAGAGCCCTCTTTCTGGTTCATAGACAGATTCCTTTCCAGAGTGTCCTCACATAGCTGAAGAGGGTGGGGAGCGGGCTGAGGCCTCTTTAAAAAGACACTAAACTCAATTATGAAAACTCCACCCTGATGACGTACTCACGCCAAAGACCTGGCCTCCAAATACCATTGGGGATCAGGTTTCTAAGGAGGGTCACACACATTCAGTGGCGAGCAGCTTGGAATTCCATTCCTGGATTCTGAGATTCTTTAAGTTACTTTAGGTATTATTATTATTTTAATTTTCTTAGAAAACACACTCTATATATATGTAAAATCTATAATCCAGCGGCTGTTATAAAAACATTTTTATGTGCTCTCAATGTAGCTTGGCTCCAGCTTTTACATTTAACACAATATTATAAAAAAATCAGCTGAGAAACAGTTAAAATTATGTTTCTATTGCAGTTGTGGACCCTTGCAAGATGCAATTTTTATTTAATCTTCACTCTTATTTTCAGAGTTACGTTCATGTAAATGAAACACGTTTCAAACAGGGGGAGGGTTGCTTGCAAATTGCTCTGTATCAAATGCCTTTGATCTGTGACTGACTTCAACGAGTGTTTTACCACCTGACCCCAAAGTGCGTGTAGTGGGAATTGGGGGGGGGGAAATATATATATATATATATATATATATATATATATATATATATATATATATATACACACACACACACATATATACATATATATGAAGAATCACTGCTTAATTAATTAAGGGAGTGCTTAAGTTTCCAGTATGAAAAACGCTGACATCTTTTTGTTATTTCTAAGAACATCCCTCATACAAGAACTCCAGTATTTTGAAAGGTGATGCACGTTCAACATGGTTGAAAGCCTTTCATTTTCTGCTGTATTTTTGGTTTCATTTACAGTTGTTGCTGCATGCATTTTGTGTCTTGTGATTCTGCGCCAAAACGTAGCCTCTTCTCCCTAAGTCTCATTAAAGGTGCATCCTGGCGTCTGGGTCCTTGTTCACTGAACTGGAGATCCCAGATTATTGTTGAATTGTGGATTGGCCTGTCACCTTTCCCCTCATTAATATTTACATAAAATGGAACCACATGCTTGGGATTTTATTTTCAAACATACCTTTCTTGTTCCTGTTCAATCTTGTTCCCCTCCATTGATAATAATGGAAGTTGCTTGGCCATATCAAACTCATAGCTTTGCAATTAACAATTCGCACATGCCGCATGTTGTTATTGAGCCCATATTTGTTTGTATAATGTGTTTGCATGAATTAAAAACTGTGCAGGCCAAAAGTAAAAATGAAAAGGCACTGGCAAGTATTTGCATATGCAAGTGCAATTCCTTCCGTAGACGTCTATGAATTTATGCATGAAAATGTAGTCAGTGTCTGAGTGGATCTACTATGATGGGTTCTAAAATTGAACTCCGCAGGAAGTAAATAAGTACATATTTAAGGACAGGGGGAACAGGAGATACAATCTGGCAGCGGCACATTCAACATGAAACTCAGCTACTACAGAGAGGGTTAAAATAAATTTTACACTCGGTAATAACAGTCATTTTTTTTTAAATGTCATGCATTTCCCGTTTTATTTTCTTATTCATGAAATCAAAGCGCAGGATCATCTCAGTACTTACTAGCCTAGAGGCACCGTAGCAGGGATTGTTGTGTGATCATCTCCTGTGGTATTTTTATTTAAAACCCAAGACACTGATTATAAAACAAACACGCTTCTCACATACAAGCAAGTTTGGCAAACACAGTTGGATGACTCTCCAGATGCTCGGAGTGGAAAAGAGTTGCCAGCCAGTGAAGTGATGTGGGGCCGGGGTCAGACCTTGTCCAGTTTCCCCAGCTGGCTGGCTGCAACTATCACTTGTGAGAAGCTGCCAGGTTCCAGCAGGAGAGAGGGGCCAGGTGCTCCCCTGAGAAGCTTACAGAGGCTCCTGTCAAATTATGCCTTCTTTGTTTGCTTTCAACACAGAATCCTCCTCCGCCTTCTTTTATTGGGGGCTTCCTCTTTTAAGTCCAGACGATGCAAATTATCTATCTGGCCTCGATTATGCTGGGTCTTCCTGGTTTGAAGAGAGACAATGGCTGACCTTACAGTCTGTGGCCATTGGGGTAATTAGTAAATGAATAATCCTGCAATAAATAGCGTCCTACTGGTCGGAGAGTTAATGCACCTGACAAAAATGACCAGTGGTCTGATCTGTAATCAGACCCAATCCCAATCCTACCTGTGAAATAGATGCCACTGTGTAAGGCAGGCCGGCCAAGTTCCCAGGCAAGCTGTGTAAGCTGGTTTGAGGACCCTGATGTTAGGGTGTAGAGCAGTGTGATATACAAGGCATCCTGCTGTTTCTCAGGAGCCTAAAGTTAGACTTGAACTCTACTTCTGCACATTTGTGTGCCTGGGACTCTGATATGCATTCTGTGCTTCACCAGGATGAGTTGGTGCACGGTGTTCAGCTGTATTGAAAAGCAACACTAATAATAAAGGAACAGCCTCTCACATTTAGTATGCGCTTTCTACCCGTCAGATGCCAGTCTGAGCATTCGGCTTGTTTTAACTCAGCTAGAATCCAAAACAATGTTGTAAGGTGGGTACTATTATCATTCCCGTTTTCATGGATTAGGAAACTGAGGCATGGAGAGATGAGATAAATCATCCACGGTCACACATTTATGAAGTGGAGACAGATTTCAGATCAGGGGGTTGGATTCAAGAGCTGTGTTTTAAACCACTGCTTGATCCCCCAATACATAAATAAAGAAACAGAAACACACGCCACTAAAGCCTCAGTTAAAGGCTAGGGAGGGAGTGTGAAGTTCAAGTTATAATTTCTTTTAGGAGTCCTCACCCAGAAACCTTTCTTAATAAGATAGGAACGGCAGCCCCTCATATCTATTGAACATACAGTGAACCCTACCGCCAGCCCCATTGTTCTGTGTTCCTTCCCTCACCCATTTTCTTCCATTTCTGCTGGTCCAGGCTCCCTGGCAGTGCCCCTCCCTGCATCCCCCTCCACTACCCACCACTGTAGGAAAAAGTTTCTACTGTCCAGATGTGTGCCAGGCTGTCAGCACTGATTCTCTGCCCTCCCCTACACTCATCGCCTTTCTGCACAACCTCTCGACCTGGAACGCTAGCCATGAAAGGAGTTGCTATCTAAATGATATTGCTCAGGTAAGCAGAACTGACTGGCTCCTGAGCCAGCCAGGGCCCAGTGGGCCAGAGAGTTCAGCCAGGCTTCTCATGCCTCAAAAAGCACCCCCTTTCCAGTTAGTAGTGCAGGTCTCTCGAGAGGGGCCAAGATTGAATTCTTTCTCTGCACCTCAGGCTGGCTGCTTGGGTCAAGGTTGAAGGAAGACTTGGGGGCAGATTGGATTTTTTGAAAGTATGATTGCATCAGTCCTCTGAATCAGTTCTAGCACAGAAATCACGTTCACTAACCCTTTGATGCGCTATAAAAATACATAATCACACACTAACACACACACACACACACACACACACACACACACACACACACACATGTCCATTTTGGCTAGGTTTGGTTTTGGTGTTTCATAAACCAATGCTCACTCCTGTGATCTTTAAAATAATTTGAGTTATTTTTTGCTCTGTGTCATTTGACATGGCATACATTTAACCCGCGTCAATGACCTGAAAACTCATGTACCCCTAATGAGTTCTAGTGTTACCTGTACCGGTTCAATTAATGACATATAATAATTGTTGACATGCTTTCAAAACTTGTGAGCATTTCTGTCTGTTACCATTGCCCTGAAATAGTTATTTATTCATGGCACCCAAAGCAACAGTTAGAAAGGTTCTGTTTTGAAAATGCCAATCTTTAATTTGCTTGCAAAGGACCCCTTTTAGATTTTAGCAAAGTTCAAAAGTTTGTTTGGTCAGTATTTGGAAAGCTGAAAAGTACCTTGAGAAGATTGCTTTCGATTTATTCTTCTACCTCCAGGCAGGTCTTCTGTTCAGAACTCATCTGAGAATAGCGTGGTGCTTCTTAATCTTTGGTTGTGTTGTTGCTTTAAAAGATAAAAAAAATCTTTAGAAAAGGAGACTCTACCCTCTTTCAGTGTG